GATAATTTTAAAAATACCAAATATTTTTTGTGTTTTAGCAAATTTTAACGACCAAATATTTTTTGTGTTTTAGCAAATTTTAGCAAATTTTAATGAAATAATTTTGACGTTTATTTGAACTGCAGATTTGAAAAAGTGAAAAAAAAAACAGTGCTAGGACTGATAAATAAAAGCAGTAATTAGTAAACTAGCTATAAACAGACTGTGAATAAGTATGTTTTGACGAAAGTGTTTTTCGTATACATTTGTCGATGAAAAAATTTGATGTCTTAAAGAATTCCAGTATTTGTTCAAATATAAAAGTTTTAAACTTACGAAGAAGCAACTGGTCCGAGAAATCGCGCTATGCTGGGGAAAAACTCGAATAGTCCTTGCATTATGCCCTAAATTACTGTATTAGTACTTAGCTTAATTTTGATTATGAATTATCTGCATGAGCTTGGGATGGTTGAAGGAAAACAAGCACAGAATGCAAAGAAGAAGAAAAAAGGCACAGTTTTGTGTGAAGAAACTTACTTTCATGAAGGATATCAGTGTTTTGCTTCATTTGTGTCATTCAAAATAACATTTTAAGTACTAAATTGCTTACTTGACTTCTTGGTCCGAGCACTTCAGAATATAATGAACCAACAGGTGAAGCTAAAAATGGGAATGCTAATCCGAACAGTACCGTAGCACTGAAAGCATACAAAGGAAAGGGCACTCGGGGTGTGTATGTACACCAGCTGTACCGTTGGAAACATCCACCGCTAAACGCTGAATCTTCGATGCTTGAATTTGGAGCTAAAAAATTACCATTCATAATTGTACTGCTGTAATTTTTATTACGCTAATAATTACAAAATCGTTAATATAAAGCATATATGAAGTTGAACAATTATTTTTTTTGACTTTCACTCCTTCGATCTGTGTTTTACTAATCATCAAAATCTCATTATTTGCATTAGAGTATCACTTTCCAGAAGAACTGATTTGTTTTCATAATCACTTACATACCAGTTTTCATGAAATCCAAATGCTCTGTATAGAAGGGCCATGGCAGATTGATTACGTGATACGCAGAGAAGCAGATTAATCCGAATAGTATCATTGGTCTTTTATCGCTAAAATTTTACACTTTTATAAAAGTGCTTTTTGATGGAATCCAAGCTTTAATTAATGTCTAATATTCAAAAATTATTCCTAGAATTTTCATATTTAAATCCTTAACTAATCTCTCTTTTTATTAAATCAGCACTTAATAAATGCATTTTTAATTCTACGCTTAAAAATATTATAACTTTATTAGCATAATAGTTTGACCTTTAATCATTACTTACCGATGCTGAAGAGTTGTATAACCGATAGCAAAATAGCAAATAACATTAACGGAACAGCTAATAGATTGAATAATTCCATTATACAGTACAGCTTGTTGATCTGTCCAACTATACATTGCAATGGTCAGCGGTGGAGCCATTCTAAATTACTTTTAAATTCAACAAGTAATTTGAAAAGTTTGATTTTCACAAGAAAACAGAAAAACGCACACTTCGATGTTTATTCCGATGCTTTGCATTGTTAACCACAAAAAAATGCATACACTGGCGGCAATTCGATCAAACTTTGGTATTACAGTACTCAGTGACTGTTCTGTAAGTTATCTGTTACAATTAATCAATGATTCTATCATGACAAATAAAATTGAATAAAAATAAACTTGAATAAAAAATTGTAGTAAATTTAAGGCAAATTTTTCTTAGCAATGCACATTTTTAAAATAAATAGTTTGATGCGTTTTCATTTATTCAAGTATTTTAAGCTGAAACTTCAACTAAATTTTCGTAATCAAAAAAAGTGGATAAATTACGAGATTTGTCTGAGCGCAAAAGTCCAGAATATGTTTCTGTAAAAACTGTACAAAGTAAAACAATAGATCCAAGGGACACAAGTACCATCAAGAAAGCGGGAGCAGTGTACATATTAAAACACACAGCACCAATTTGAACTCCACTACGTCCAAGAGGAGTAAATAAAGTCTAAAATTTGAATATTTTTAAAATATTCTTATAAACATTTGCTGTTTAAGCTCGTCTAAATCTTTTAAAGTACATTTTTAAACTTATTATTGAAAAAGGAAAGCAATGAAGTAAGCAACTTTGCTCTTCAGGTTGATACTGAAATTAACTATCTATTATTCATGATTAATCTATGTTGAACCTGTACTGCAGGTCCAATGGATAATCCCAACACAAATAATCCAAAACTCATCGATATGGCTTTGGTACGATCACGAGGTACACTTGCCATAGCTGCGTAGGTTCGTAAAACGCTTAAGTGACCTGAAATTTATTACTGACTGAGTGGAAAATTGTAAATTAAGTGTAGAAAAACTGTACTTCACATTGGATTACTAAATCGTTGTAGATTGAAATTTAGTCAATTTTTTTGCGGACTTGGAAAATACTGAAAATTTTGATATTGCAATATATATATATA